TTATGCCACCACACCCGGGCTCTGTTCTTGTTATCTGGGCAGAAACCCCAAGAGCATCAGGACTGTGGACACCCCGAGCCTCACCCTGCTCTGCCGGCCAAGGCTTGGAGCCGTTCGCTGGGCAGCAGGTCCTGGGCACTGAGAACCCAACCAGCTCTGGGTCCCCCTTTGCAAGGAGGCCTGCGGCACTGAGCTGCTGCTGTGGTCTCTCAAGCCCTGGAGTGTGGCCACACCCTCTCCTGGCCCTCAGTTTCCCCATCTGTGCTGCATCGGGGTGGTCGCCGTGCATCATCTTACACCTCTGCCCAGGCTCACACTGCTAGACACGAAAGTGCACAGCTCCTGGGATCCGGGGCACTTACAGTCCTGGTCCAGGAACAGGGTGGGTGGGGAGGAGGAATCCGCCCTCTCCGACACTGTCTATGCTTCCGGTTAACTCATGGAATCACCAATCTGCTGCTCTGGCGTCCCCTGGTGGCCACATTTTGAATAGTAGTAGCTAGGACCAGATCCCAAGTGCACAGAGCGTTCCACCTGAGGGTCATCTATATAATTTGAGGGGCTGCATAGTTTGAGGGCCAGTATAAAATGAAAATGTAGGCACCTAGATCAAAAAGCAGGGGATAAAGTGCAGATAAAGAGATTAAATAGAAAGCTTTTCTCCTTAAAAATTTATTTCTGCAGGGGAGGTGGTACACAGCTGTAATCCCAGCTACTTGATAGGCTGAGGCAGGAGGAGCACAAGTTTGAGGCCAGTCTGGGCAACTTAGTGAGAACTTGCTTCTAAATAAAAAGGGCTGGAGATATAGCTCAGTCATAGATCACTTGCCTAGCATGTGAGAGGTCCTGGGTTCAATCCCCAGGACCCCCAAATATATATTATATATAATAATTATACAGTATACTAGGAATAATACTGCTGAGTATGGTGATGCACACCTGTAATCCCAGCACTTGGAAGGCTGAGGCAGGATGATCTCTGTGAGTTCAAGGCCAGCCTTGGCTACATAGTGAGACCTTGTTTCAAAAAATAAAAATACTGATGCATGAGTAACAAACTTACAAATTTTAGAAACAATATTTGAGAATCATAATTTATACTTAACAAATAATGCTCTATTAATGTGATAGCTTGATTAGAAGATTTTTCTGGTTCTATTTTTGAAACAGAACTTGGAAAAAAATCAGTTTTTTCCCCTGGCTTTAAGCAGTTTCTCCCACTCCATGCAGTTTCCTTCTGGAATTCCTCCTCCCCATAACTGCTGACCTCTGCTCTGCTCCAGGTAAGGTAAATACCAAGATTCTTGCAAACAGAGTCCTGTGATGGCCTGGTTTCTCAGGAATCTGTTTCCCTTCAAGGCTGACCTCTGGCCCGGTACTGAAAAGGTAGACAAATATATTTCTATAAATGGAGTTCTTTTACAGTTTAGAAACTGTTCTCTCAAAGCCGGGCATGGTGGCACATGCCTGTACTCCCACTTGGGAGGCTGAGGCAGGAGGATTGCTGTGAGTTTGAGGCCAGCCTGAGCTGCATAGTGAGTTCAAGTCCAGCATGAATTACAGAGTGAGACCCTGTCTCAAAAAAAAAAAAAAAGACATTGTTCTCTACACATAATATTGACAACTGTGTTCCTCTAAACAAGGTCTTATGACATTCTGAAATTATGTCTGATTTCTTTCAAGGTTAAACGGTTAAACTGTCACTAAATAAATGTCTTTGTCAAGCCCCCTGACAAATGTATTAAAACTGGAGCTTTACCTTTGTTCAGAGCTCAGCCCTTTGGACACAAGTCTGGCTATAGTCAGTATACCCAGTAAAATCCTCCTGTTTCCCAGTGGCTTCTCCTGCCTCTGGGACTCTGCAACATTTCCCCCAAATCCACTAGGTTGCAAAGTCAATACTTCAAACAAATTCATTTTTAATCAATAAAACTGAAAGTAATGTCAATTGCTCTTGGCAGAAGCAATCACTGTTGATCATTTATCATTCTGAAAGGGACACTTCTGCAGAGGCAGTTGGTACTAGCATGAGTATCTTGCAGACTAGGGTAACACTGGGATGAATTTCTGATGAATGCTTCTGAATTGCACATTTTTAAGACATCTAGAGCTGAGATTCTTGCAGAACAGTTTTTCTAGAAAGATTAACTCCTCACGCAAGTCAGGTTCCTGTAAATCCACCTTTCGTTTCCAGTGTATGCAGTGGCATTTTAATGTCGTGTAACCAGTGGAGGCTACAAAAAGCCAACTATGGTTTCTCGGTTTGTGTATGGTTCAATTGCCTGTTTATACATTCTGCCAGTGTATCTTGAATTACACAGAAACTCACTTTTTTTTTTTTTTGGTACCAGGGATTGAACTCGGGTCCTTGCACTTGCGCAGCAGGCGATGAAACCACTGAGCTAAATCCCTGGCCCCAGAAACTCACTTTTGAAATAGACTTTCTCATTAATAATTGTTTCATCAAAGCCTGATATGAAAACAGTGTTCCTTGTGGCCAATGTGACCACCTTTACATTTGATTTCTATTTCTAAGACTCTCACTTTACAGAGCTGCAGTTGTTTTTGGAACCTGCTGATGTGTTCTAATCACCCCTACTGTGCTCTGCACACCTCTGTTCTCTCCTAACTTGCTGACTCAGTTTATCCCAAGCCCGAGGTCTTGTTACTCTGGCCAGAGCTGGTCTTCACATAGGCACCTCAGGCACAGGATGCCTCCTGTCTCCCGGTGAGCCCACGACTGCCACTGTCACCGTGGCACCCCAGGCCTGGGTCCCAGCACACCCAGGGCTCACAGTGCACAGTCCACACAAGTGGACTCTCTGCTGTCCCTGGACACTTACAAAACATAAGCTCAAAGATAAAATTGAGATTTTCAAGATGGTGACAGCATGGCATTAGCCCAGTGAGAGGCCTTTCTGAGGGTACAGACAGGGAAATTGAGCATCCTAGGAGACAATCCAGGAGGTCAGCCATTATGAGGTGGATGTGTGTAGTCAGCGCCTGCAGCTGCTGCTCCTGGGGCTGGGCCTCATGGCTCCATCCTTGGTCCATGGTCCGAGCATCACCTGGCCTTGGTTCCCGGGCTGTCAGTGTCCACCAGACCTGGCCTAGAGTGAGCAGAGGAAAGATTCCCATGTGTGGGGTTCTCTGTTTAGTCCCAAATGTGGGTGATCAGACTTAGGGGTCTATGGGGAGGATCACATGGGATTTTTTTTTTTTTTTGGTACTGGGGATCGAACTCCGGTCCTTGTGCTTGTGCAGCAGGCAGCAAAACCACTGAGCTAAATTCCCAGCCCCACGTGGGATTTTTAAATTGGATAGCTCAAGACCTGTGAGGACGTCTGGAAGTCACTGTGGTGGACAGTGCCTAGCTCTTGTAAAACATGAAACGGAACGCGAGGTTGGAGCGGGTCCCAGAGGAGGCGAATACTGCAGGGCATGGTTTTGGTCCTGCTGAGTCTGTGGGCTGGGTCCCTGGGAAACGCGTCTCTTCGGGACCTCCTTGTGTGAGAAGCTGGACTTGGACAAGGGTGTGAGAGCAGGCCACTGGGTCACCCTCCTCGCTCTTCCACATCTCCAGGGAGCCGCCTTTGCACAGTGCACTGGTCTGTCCAGGGGCAGTGCTGTCTCGTCCTGAGCCCCATCACCCCAAGGGACCCAGAAAAGCATGTCCTGCTGAGGCTGGTGCGGCATGGGGTGCATGATGGCTAGGAGTCTCATTTCAGGAGCCACAGGCAGCAAGGGCTGCATCCCAGTGTCCTGTGTCCCAGCCACATCCCAAGGGCTTTGGCATTCTCCTGCCCACACTCAGCCCGGATCCAACCCAGATAGAGGACCCGCTTGGGTCCTGCAAGTGCCAGCTCACCAGGCGGGTGACGGGCACAGCAAGCGATCCTCAGTAAGGATCCTGGAGCCCTGCAGAGTGCCAGGGCCTGGGGAGTGACCTTCCTGAAGTGCACCTGCTTTCATCCTTGCAGTGATCCCACCAGGCATCAAGAGCCCCATTCCACAGATCAGAAAACCGAGGCTCAGGGAGGAAGCGCTTGCTCAGCTCCCCACCCCCGCTAAGGGGCCCTGGCTCCCGAGTCTGGGGGCTGGCTGTCTTTTTGACATTCAGACCGGAAGTAGGCAACCTTGCTTCCTGGTGGCAGGTGGGGAGGCGAAGGCGACACAGGTGAAGGGAGGGCTGGAGGTCCCGTGGCTCTAGGGGGTGGAGCCGGGGTCAGAACCCCCCCCCCCCGCCCCATGCTCACCTCCTGCACCCTCCTCCCTTCCAACCTGCCATTTCCTGCTTCTCTTGGTGGTTTACCTTTTTGTGTGGTTTCCTGAAAAAGCCCCGGGCCCCAGGTGCCTGGAGCTAGCCGCTAACGGTGTGTTGTGTGTCCTGAGAAACCCCTCCCTTCTCTGGGTACCAGCTGTTGAGGTGATGAAATGCAAAGTGCAAGCTAAATGAGCTCCAAGGTTAGTCTGGCATTCGTGTTAAGGTTGCCAGCTAAAACACAAGATACTCAACTACATCTGAGTTTCAGATAGGCAATGGGTAACTTTTCAATATAAACATATCGCAAATATTGCATCAACTTATGCGGTTATCTGTTGTTCATCTGAAATTCAGATTTTGCCAGTGTCCTGTATTTTCATTTACTTTGCCTGCCAACCTATTCATGGTCTCATTTGTGATATAGGGCGTATGATATAGGGATGATATAGGACCTCCAAATGATGTAAGGGAAATATCAGAACTCCCAACCTGTTAGATGTCTGGAATGCCGAGTGTGTGTTCTCTAAAATGGAAGAATAAATTCTTAGCAATGGAGGTTAAGAGTAAGAAATATTTATTAAGGGAAAGATAGCTTCTGTCTAAGAGAGACAGAAGGGAGACCCAGAAAGTGGGTTGCCTGGGGACCTTGTTGCTCAAGGGAGTTTTATAGAGCAAAACCACGAGGTGAGTCGGGTATAAGTGGGACAAAACTATAGTTGACTACTAAGATTATAAGTATAGTCACTTAGGCTTTATTGATCCAATGGAAAATCCCAAGGTCGGTATGAGGTGGGACAAAACTATGGTCAACCAATAAGATTACGAGTATAGTCGCTTAGGTAATATTGATTAAATGGGGAGGCAAGTCACGTAGCAAGCGTACATGGAACAAATAAGGATTCCCTGGGAAGGAATGGGCCAGGGAGGTTTTAGTCCCCCATCCAAGGTGATTGGTGCCTGTTTAGGTATGAATCACCACTGCTCACCCCGAGGGGAGGTATGTGGCTGTAAATGCCCTTATCTTCAGCGCTGACTATGGAGCGCCCAGGCTTGTCTGACTGCCTATAATATTTTAACTAACTTAGCTGTCCATAATGTGTCGACAACCTGTGTGTTCTTGGGAACCCGTCAAGGCTGACTGGGCGGGCAGGTCCAAGGGTGGCTCTGGGGGAGCACCCAGTCCAGGGGCGGTGGGAGCACGTCCAGCACAGGGAAGGAGCTGGCCCTGAAATGAAAGACGCCCCTTCTCCTCCTCCTGAGGCCCCATGGCTGGAGCAGAGAGGCAGCCTTTCAGTCAGTCCCAGTCACGACAGAGAGGAAAGCCAGCCCTCTGCCGAGGCTTGACCAAGGATGGGGGCCCTCTAGCCATCTGTGCAGGGCTGGGGTGTCACGTGCATGACGTGACCTGAGGAAAGCTCTCGATGCAATGCAGACTTTGTGTGACCCTGCTCTCTGCCCTCCCTATGCATTTCTGTTCCCTTCATCCCTCACGCAACCCTAATTTTGCTCATGATAGGCACAATTTCAGCTAAAACTACATCTCCCAGCCTCCCTTGCAGCTGGGAGTGGCTAAAGTGACACCATCTTGGTCCTTGAGATGCAATGGAGGGTGCTGGTTGGTGCCTTCTGGAAGCTCCTTACAAGAAGGTAGAGCAGCCTTTTTCTGTTCCCTTTGCCTCCTTCCTGCTGAAGCACAGAAGTGATGGTGGAGGTCAGGCAGCCACGCTAGGGCCAGTGGTCGTAAAAACACCACCATGTGCTGGAGAAAGGCAGCAGGCACCTGGCCCTCGCTGCTCACCCCTGGACTTTGCCTCATGTGGTGATGCGCTGTGACAAGGCCTCTGCTGGAGGGGGCTGTCCCCACACCCTGCTGCCTACACCTCTGTGCTGTGCAGGACCACCTGACCTCCACCACATCTCATAGTTGTATGTCCATTTACAGTTCAAAGTGCCATGGCAGTCTCTAGCAGAAGCTGCTGTGTTCCCACCTTGTGCTGACTCCCTGGGCACCCTGGCCAGACCCCCGATCTGCCCCGCACACAGTCGCTGCATCTGCCTGGCCTGGGGCCATCCTGGCCTGAGCCCACTTTGCCTGCAGCACCACAGGCTGGAAGTAGAAGGGGGGGGACCCTCATCCCAACAGAGACCACAGGGAGCCGGTGGGGGGGCAGTAAAAACCCCGCCCCTCGCCATCAGCCCCCACACTGGCGCTGGCTCCTCCACATCCTGTGTGGTTGTCCTTCCCCCTCTTCCTCCCTGGAGTCACCTCCTGAAGAACCCATTTGCCTGCAGATCCTGCTGTCAAGGTCGGTTCTGGAGGACCCCACCGGGACACGTGAGAAGCCCATGAGAAGCAGCAATTGTCTTATAATCGGGTGGAGAAAAGCAAAGCGTCCCCCGGGTTTCTGAGATGGATCCCAAGAGGAAGGTCTGGGTTCAAGTTCAGGGTCCCAGGGGCCAAGGCCAGAGGTGGTCCCGGTTCCCCATGGCTGCTTGGCCCAGGTCCTCTGAGGGAGTCCGCTGTGGACAGGCAGTGTTCTGCCCAGCTCTTTGGTCAAACTGGGGACTCATGGTTACCGGGAGACTCTCTGGGACAGACACAGGACACAGGCGAAGTCTGCTGCTCACACACGCGCACACACGGTTTATTTCCCACTGTGTCTGAATGTCCCTCTGCCATCTCAGGTGCCTGGGTGACAGCCTGGGGGTGCCTTGATGGGGCTGAGCTTCATGCTGCAGAGTTCAGGGGGAGCCAAGCACAAAGGACATCTGCTTTTCAGTCCCTGCTCCTATCCCCAACCGTCCCGAGACTGCACTGCAGCTGGGACTGAACTCAGAGCTCTGCTGTGACTGGGCCTGGAAGGATGAGCCCTCTCCACTCCCTCCTGGCCTGAGAGGAAGGCCACACGGGGCGTCACCTGCACCCCAGTTACCAGCCCCAAGTTACCCTGGTGCCATCCCTTCGAGCTGTGTGAGGTCACAAGACTCAGTCTGGGGCATGTGTGCAGGAGGCGCTCGGAGGTGCATGAACCGGAGGGCAGGGGGGTCGGGAGGGGTGCAGGAAGCAGTGGTTGGAGCCGAGAAGCAGCTGGGGCCAGGCTGCTTGCTGGACATCGGTAAATGCATTCTGAAAGCTGCTTCCTCCACATCGCACAGGCCTGGTGCTGGGTCCAGTACCAGCAGGACACTCACATGAGCATGCCTGGATGACAGCCAGCCCCTCCCAGCACCCCAACGGTCCCCAAAGCGGCCGGAGTCACCACTGCAGGAAGCAGACCCGGGTCTCAGGAAAGAGGCTGCTGCACCCCAACAGTCTCCGTGCCCCGGGCTCTCTACCTGCCCAGAAGCTACAGCCAGGACCCCCTTGTCTCTGCATCCCCAGCCCAGTGCCCAGCTTGGGGCTGCCACCATGGGCACCGCACTAGGGAGGACCAATATCATTGCCCATCACCATGTCCCCAGCAGCCAGCACAAACTGGGATGCACTGGGGACATGGGACATTTGTGGAATGAAGGAAAGAAAGTGGCCACAGGCGTGGCTCAGAGAGTGGACGGATGGGAGTCTTGGGCTGGGGCCTTCTGCACCAGCGAGGACCAAGGGGAAGGGGGCAGAGCGGAGAGGCTGGCTCACCTGTGTCCGCCATCTGCAGGCCGAAGCAGGACAGCAGCAGCAGCATGTTGAGGTTCTCCAGCTCCTTCTCCAGCACCAGGCCGCATGTCCGCAGGCTGGCCAGCTCCACCTCCAGCCGCTGCTGCTGGCTCTGCACGTCGCAGGGGCGGGGGGACAGACAGATGATAGACGGACAGACAGAGAGACGGACAGGTGGATCCAAATGTGAACAGGGAGGCAAGCAGACATAGGTGTCAGTAAGCCAATACCCAAGGAGGTGAGTAAATAAATATATAACAGTGAACAAGTAAATATGGAAGTAACGGAATAAATAAGCACATAATAACTAGGTGATTAAGTAAATAAGTACACAAATAAGTCAATGATGGTGGCCCTGTGGAGGCATGGACTCAGTTCATGGGCTGGGGAAGGGGATTCCAGGGCCTCAGGGAGTTGGGCCTGTCGCTGGCTGGCTTGGTCTCAGGTCCACCTGCAGGGCCTCGGGGGCAGAAATGTGGGGACCCCGGGCCATTGGGGAGCCCCTGGGACTGCTGTGTGTATGCTGCGGGCTCCTGGGAACAGGGCGTCTGCCGGGCCCTCTCCCGCCACTACCTCTGGCCCCTGGCATCCTGGGGGAGGCAAAACTGTGCTCAGCCAGCTGAGGCACTGAGCCGAGAGGGCGTCAGACCCCAGGGAGCCCTGACCAGCTACTTTCTGGGGATCTGTCTCAGACGGGTCCTGTGTGTGGCTCTGCATAACCGAGGTGTCTTTCAGCTTTTCAGCTTAACATGCAGTGCTCTGCAGCATTCTCTAACAAGCGCAGGGGAAGGCATCGACTACACTCCAGGGAAAAGAAATTCCCATGGAGTTTGGGGTGCACAGAAGTCTGGGATGAAGGGGCTGTTGGGGGAATGGGAGCAGGCCACGCTCAGAGGATACGCTGTGACTGTGACCCCAGGGGACACCCCTGGGTGCTGGGTACCTGTTGGGTACTGTGCTGAGTACTCCCTGTGTGTCTGCTCATCCATGGCCACCGGGCCCCTGGGCCCACTCTGAGGCCATCACTGGTGACCGGCAGTGGGGAAGGCAGGGCCCATGGCTACAAAAGGCAGGGCTGGGGTCGAGGCACAGATGGGGCTGAGCAGCCTTCCTGAAGGACTGGGACTGTCCCAGCGGGAGCCGCAGTCTCCAGTCAGAAAACCAGGTGGCCTCGTGTGTGGCAGGTCACATTTCTGTGCATGGAGATGTGAAGGGACAGAGCATGAATGGTTTTGTTCTGTTTTGTTTTTTGAGACAGGGTCTTCCTGTGTAGTCCAGGCTGGCCCCAAACTCACTATGTAGCCCAGGCTGGCCTTGAGGTTGTGGGGATCCTCCTGCCTCAGCCTCCCGAGTGCTGAGATCACAGGGGTGCACCACCACACCCGGGCGACTATGCGTTTTATAAGGCACCTGTGTGGGCAGGCAAGTTGCACTGGGGTTTGTAAAGCTTTCTGTTTGGGGGGCTTTTTGGGTACTGAATATGTAAGCCGGGACCCTGGGGGCCACACTCCAGCCCCAAGCATTATCTTTAGCAACTCTGTGGTCTCCACCCTTAGCTTCCCGAGCAACCCCACAGGGAGGCGGCAGGGACCCCCCCCCCCAGCTCCGACGGCTCCCACCTGGAACTCCGCCAGCTGCCTCTGCAGGGCCTCCTGCTCCACCTGGGCTCTCTCCAGAGTGCTCCGCAGCTCCCCCAGCTCAAATTCCTTCACTGCGACCCAAGGCAAGAGGAAGCCCTCACCGTCTGCTCCTCCCAGCCCAAGCCTCCCCGTCCCAGCGGTGCAGCCCTGAACCAGTTCCTTCACCTCTCGGTGCCCCACCATCAGCACCTTCAGAAGGAGGTGCGACCAGTGCCTCCCTCACACAGGCGAGGGCTGGGCCCTAGCACACGAAGCCCCCCCGAAATCCTTTCAAACAGTGCTGTAGGCTGCAGGCCCAGCACGCACAGGGGTATTCGTTTCTTCCTCTGGTGACACCTGTGGAGAAACTGGGCCGGCACGCAGCACAATAAAGAACTGGAGCCCCTGCCGCCATTCACCCCTGCGTCACACAGCAGGCCTGACGGGGAGGCTGGGAAGAACAGGGGCTGGAAGCCTGGAGGCTGGCAGCCTGGCCCATCCGCAGCACAGCCCCTCGCCAGCCCCTCCAGGGGACGGGGACGGCGCCTGTGTGCCACACTGTCCCTCGCCAGGTGGAGGCTGAGCCATTGCACCTGTGGCTCCTTCCGGAACGAGGTCGCCTGCACCTGCAGCTCACCTGCCCCTGGGTGTTATTTTTCCTGTTCTTCCCCCTTGCTTCTCCTCGCCTTCCTCGCTCACTCCCCCTGTCTGCTGATCTACGAAACGGGGCTCCCACCAGACCCCGTAATCCTGGATTCCACACAGGCCGGGAGCAGGGGACCCCACCACTCACTTTTCAGCAGTTTCCAGATAAACTCTTGCCAGAAGCACAGGTCGAGGGAAGCAAAGCTCTCCCCTGGAGCCAGAGCCCCAAGCTCAATCACACTGGGGCCCTCGGCTTCCTCCTCCGACTCGGGTTTGTGCAAATTCCGACCTTCCTCTTCCTCTGGAGGTTCCAGGTGCCTCAAGTACTCGGCAGAGTCTTTCTTGAATTCCCCTAGAAGGCAAAGACATCTATGGCAAAGCCCGGCCCTCCAGGGGCACAGAGGGCACAGCTGTGTCGAGCCAGCCTCTGCTGGCCCCACCTTGGGCCCCGGGCAGAGTATGTGGAAGCCAGGCATCAGGTCCTGGGGATGGAGCAGCAGGGTGGGCTTCCTGTGGGAAGTTCCATGGCTAAGAGCCTGGCTTCCTGGCTGCCATGAGGTGAACAGCTCTGCCATGCCCTTCCACCATGATGCTCTGCTTCACCTCACGCCCACAGCGATGGAACCACCCAGCCGTGGACACAATCCTCTCAAACCATGAGTCAAAATAAATCTTTTCTTCTCCAACTTGTTTTTCTCGGGAGTTTGTCACTGTGATGAAAAGCTGACCTGGTTCAGGGACTGGAAGGAGTAAGTGCTCTGGGTACTTGTCAAACACATCCACCCATCCATCAACCCATCCATCAACCTGTCCATCCATCTGTCCATCCATCCACCCATCCATCAACCCATCCACTCATCCATCCGTCCATCCATCCATCCATCTGTCCATCCACCTGTCCATCCATCCGTCCGTCCATCCAGTACTCACTGAGGGCCTGCTGTGGGTGCCAGGCAGGACTCTGGCAGGGTCCTCTACAATGAACTAAACAGGCAAAACCATCCCGAACCCCAGGGGCTTAAATTCTGGTGGGAGATGACAGACAACAATAGAGGTGAGCAAGCTAGGAAGGGCGCTAGAGTGGAACGATGAAGAGAAATAAGGCAGGGGAGGAGGGAAGCCAAAGGCAGGCTGACTGCACAGGTGGCCAGGGATGGGTTCCCTGGTCTGGGACAGTTAAACAAGGCCATGTCTGTGCATGGAGAGAATGCAGTACCCAGGTGGGGCATGGCCGGGCATGCGCTAGGGAGAGGGTAGGAGCCAGGGGCTGTAGCAACATCAGTGAGGTCCCTAAGAGGAGCCAAGGCCCAGGGATGGCTGGAGGAGGTGACCTTGTTAATTCAGCAGCACACCGATGTCACAGAAGTAGTGGGGGTCAGCGGTTATCAGAGGCTGAGAGGGGCAGGGGCGGGGAGCGCTTGGTCATGGGTACAAATCACAGCAGAGAGCAGGAGCAAGCGGTGGTCGTCATGCCACAGAAGGGTCTAGTTAATAACCACAGGTGGTGGATCTTCACACGCATGCACAAGTACAAAAACAGGGCATCGCACCGGAAACAGCTACCTTTACTCTCTGTCAATCAAAAGATAAACCTGAAAAGGAGCCAACCGATGCAGAGCTCCCCGGAAGGCCCACCCCACCCAACCCCGGCCCAGCACCGAATGAGGGTCACTGATTCGGTCCTGAGTCCTGAGACTGCGCTTAGATAGGGGCCGGGACTGGGGCCCCGTGGCAGAGCTGCTGGGGAACCTGCCCAGGGGGAGGGACGGTGGCAGTGACGTTTGCCGCTGAGTCTGGGTCCCCTGTGAGACAGGGTCACCTGTGAGGTTGTGCAGGTGCTGCCTGCCTAGCAGGTGCTCCCTCTTGTTGTGCCGCGAGCTGAAGCACTGGTGGCAGGTACGGCAGTGCAGGTCCCCATCCTCTGTGCCCTGTGGACAGGAAGGGGCTCTGGTGAGCAGGAGGGGCTAAGGCGCCGGGCCCCAGAGCACGGCCCAGCTGAGAGGATGTGTGGCCCACAGGACACCCCGGCCCGTGGGAGGCGTTCTGGTCGCAGCTGAGAACTGCGGCGTCTCCAGCCCCGGTCACTGGGCAGAAGTGTCAGGTACATGGCAGAAGAGTTCGCCTTGATCCTAAACCAAAGTGACATCTACAGCTATGGGACAGGGATGTGTCCAAGCATAGGGGTGTGTACGCGTGCAGTACTTCTGCTTGGTGTTCTAGGGACTGGTCCCAGCTGATGTCTCAGGGTGTGGGCTCTGGATCTAAGGGATGGAGCTCCAGCCCGGGAGAGGACCTATTCTTGTTCAATTCTTGGCATTTTTTTAAAGACAGGGTCTCACTATGTAGCCCCGGCTGGCCTCAAACTCAGCAATGCTCCTGCCTCAGTCCCCCAGGTGCCAGGATTACAGCTGTGCGCCACACCTCGCAGCAGATTCTTTGCATCTTTGCATGTTTAAATCACGAACATGTATTATTTTTAAACAAGAGACCTAGTTAGTTAAAAAAGCATATGTAACTGTCCACATTTGCTAACGATTTGTGAAAGTTGTTAGAATAAAAATGGATCCACTTTTGTAAAGCAATCAACAAAAATAAGTGAAGCCAGGAGGTCATGAAAGAAGAGATCTCGTGTTTATGCCTGATGACAAGGAGTGTCACAAAAGATGCCACAGCCACAGCTTTGCGTTAAGGACGCCACAGGGGGTGACTGAGCCTTCCACACAGGGGCCGTGGGGGCCACTCCGATCCACGCCACTACAGGCTGTGATGAGGTATCTCATGGCTGCTTCTCTTCTGAGCCCTTCTTCTGCTCCTGACCGGGTGGCTGGTGCCTACCTGTGCTTACTTTAAAACTGTGACTCAGCGCCCAGAAATGGAATGGGTATAAGCATCACATCCCTGAGGCCTCTACGGAAAATGTCGGCCACCACTGCTGTTTCCTGTCCCATACCTCTGTCCACCAGGAGGGGGTGCCACTATGCCTCACGTTCCCCATGGCTGCTCTGAAGATGGCCACAGGGAGGGAGGGAGGGAGCCAGGAGCCTTCAGGGCTCACAGCCATACCCCTAGAGCTCTGAGCTACAAGTGATGTGCAAAGAGGGGCTCAGAGAATATCAAAGACTCCCCCTTTGTGTCTCAGGCTAGACAACAGCCCAGGGTTGGGGTGGGGACATCGTTCAGCCTGAGGCTCTGACACTGCGAATCTCACTCCCCACACTTACATCGATGGCTGAGAAGTCAAGGTCCTCACGCCCAAGTTCGCCTCCTGGGGCCCCTGGTCCTGATGGAGACACAGAGGATGTCAGTGAGACAAGAGACTGTCCCAGAACTGGGCAGCAGCGGGGGCCCAGCAGTGCCTCTCTGGCACAGCCATTCTCTCGGGGTCCCTGCTTCCTGCTAGGCTCCAGGCCCCATGGACATCCCAGCAAACCACAGCGTTAACACCCAGCCAGGTATGGTGTGAAGGCGGAGGAACAAGAAAAAACGAAAGCAGGTCATTTCTCAGGGCGGCAGATTGTGGGTAATACTTGTTTCGTTTTTTTAAGTCTATCATGATGATCACGATTATATTTTTATAAAGCAAGCATGAAAAAATTACCGTGTCATAAATGAGGCAGTAACACATTTTACTTGTTTAAAAGCCAAGCTGCGGGTCGGGGATTTAGCTCAGTGGTTTCGCTGCCTGCTGTGCAAGCGCAAGGACCCGAATCCCAGTACCCAAAAAAACCCCCCCAAAAACCAAGCTGTGTTGTAGTGACCTTTCCTGGTAACATGCCAGGTTTTGACACGATGGCAGTGCAATTTACGCTCATGGCAAGGAGAGGCCCTGGGGCCTCTGCTCAAATAGAGTTAAGCAGGATGAGACTTCTGTACTCAGCTACGACTCTCAGCATATCCGGGGCAAGCATGGGCAGGGGGTGACAGCTGCCCACAGGGACACTGTGTCGGAACCCCAGGCCCCATGCCCTGGCCATTACAGAGGAGGCACAAGGTCTCAGGTAAATTGGGTGACTCAACTTCACATCCACGACAATGACAGGCTATTGGAGACCAGGTGCTGGGGCCTGAGCACATTTCTACCTCATTTGTGGGACCAGTTTCCAATTGATTATTTTTATCTGCAGGTGTTCAGTTGAAACAGATGTTGGGTGGAAACCCACAAGGTACAATGGGCCAGGATGCAGCTGCCCCTGGATCAATCTGGGCCTCATATTGTTTTTGTTAATAAAACTTTATTGCCCCCCAGCCACAGCCCTTTGTTGACACACCATCTGTGGCCCTGTCCTGCTACAGCCACAGACTGACTGGCGCGTGGGGTGGTGAGTGTTGCAGGGACATGGGGCTGGGCACAATCAGTGCGGTCCACATAGCAGCACCGGTAACAGCAGCTTCCCAGTGTTGGAAATGCAGATTCCCAGGCACACCGCTGACTAGTGGAGCGGAACCTGCATGCCCATGAGCCCCTGCTCTGGGTGCAAGTTGGAGAAGCAGCTGCTCCATAACCACAGGATGCCTTCTCTTTCCCCTAAGCTGAAAAGTAGCCACGGCCCCAGCATGGACTGTCCTCAGCCCTGGCAACTGGAGGGAACCAGATGCCTCCTGTCTCAAATCAAGTTCAGGATGGGACTGAATCCCGCTGATGTCCTGCTCGGGCGGGGCAGGGAGGGTGTGGATTTTCAATCGAAGGCCTGACCCATGTGGACACGGTGGGCTCACACAGAGGCCCCAGGTCTGCCCCACTCACCGCACAGAGCCCTGTGGGCTGCCCGCCTCCGAAGGAAGGCCCGGTAGGCCTCGGAGCTCTGGTAGGCCTGCAGCTCGCGGATGTAGCGCTGCTTGTCCTCATCGGCCTCGTAAATGTACCTCTGGAGGAAGGGGACACAGATTCGGAGGCCCTCCTGGTCTGGGGCCCAGCTGTCTTCTTGTCCAACCAGCCAGGGGCTGTTTAAAGCAAAGCTCAGCTTCTGCGTGCACACCCCCAGGGATGGGAGCCTCATTACCTCCCAACAAGCTCATCCCTTGTTTTAAGGACTTGTAGAAGTCAGAAACTTTCCCTTTGATTCTGCAGGGCGTGGCCTGAGAACCACAGGGAAGGGAGTGCTATCAGCTCCTTCTTGGAGGACATTAGACTGTTGTTTTCTTCCAGTACTGAGGATTGAACTCAAGGCCTTCACACTCAGCTACATCCCCAGCCCTTTTTTATTTTGAGACAGGGTCTCTCCCTGTGTCACTAAGTTGCCAAGGCTGGGCTCAAATCTGCAATCCTCCAGCCTTGGGCTCCCAGAGTGCTGCAGTTACAGGTGTGCACCACAAAGCCTGGCCAAGGACACTGGACTTCTATGGGATTGTTGCTCATGTGAACCTGAGTGCTTTGTTCCATGCAGGACCCTGGGGTGGGCCCTGAGACACAGAGATGCATTGGACCGAGCCCCAAGCCCCAGGATGCTCCCCAAGCTGCCCATCTTCTGTCCTCTTCCACCAGTAATGCTGTCTCACCGCCTCTCTCAGCCAAATCCATGTCGTCCTTCCAGACCTGCCCCAGAACAGCCATGTCCTCAGAGAGTCCTCTTTGATGTCTCCAGGCTGTGCTGGTTGCCTGCAGGCCCCAGGCCCTGGCAGAGACTGGAGTCCCAGAATCCCTGCCCTGGATTGGATGTGTCACAATGGGACTGGGTACTGGAGGGCAGGGCTGTGGTTGGTCCCCAGCTGCACAGGGCAGCCTGGACTGGTGTTTGGGACACTGGAGGGTGGCCAGGAGTAGATGCAGGATGGCCAGGGATGGCAAAGGTCCTCCCTAAGGATGTCTGCTGGGTAAGTGAGAGTCACAGCAATGTTTTAGCATCTGGTACTGGACACAAATGATCATGTTGTCAAGTACAACTAAAAAGCGCTGATGGGCTGGGCTGACGCTTCCTAGAAAGCCTCTTTCCTCAGCCTCCCAGACCCTTCTGGCTCTGACCTTTGTCCCATGCCTGAGGCACTGGAGCCAGGCCAAGCAGACAGCTGGCTGTGGTGTCAGGCAGAGCTCCTAGGACAGGGCTCGGGAGCAGAGCAGCAAGGGGCTCCGATATGTGACAGCAGTTGGAGACCCTACACCTCGGATGGGAGACTCTGTGCCTCGCTCCCCGGGAGCACCCCTGTGCCTTGAGGTCGCCCTGAGAATTTGCAAAGGCAGCTGTTGTCCATCTCTGCCAGTGGGTCTGGAAATGCTAGGGGCTTGTCACAGTGGCAGGCAAGATTAACTGTCCTCAGATGGTTTTAATCACAGCAGCATGGCTTGATCTGTGGCATATTTAGTGTGTGTGTGGCCCTGTGCAAATGTGTGTGCATGTGACCTTGTGTGACTGACCCCCCCACCCTACAATTAGCATTTTTATGTAGTTGTTAACATAAACCACGAGTTTATGACCAAAACAAGCTGTAAGTGCAGAAATCTAAAGAAGCTCACTTCAGGGCTTTGCATTTGACTCAGAGGAAGGAGACTGAGAGTGAGGAGCTGTATGAGGGAAGGTGCAGGCTTTGGGACCAGACATCCTTGTAAGGGGTACGGGAGGGCTTCTCGGAGGTGACGACACTGGACCAGGTCAGGCTTCATCAGAAGGGGCTGGTGGTGGGGCAGGGGCAGTGAAGTGGCACTGGGCAGTGATGTTTTGTGCTCTGCGGCCCCTAGGTGGATGTTTGCTTCCTGTGGCCCCCAGCACACATTTCCCGGGAGGGAGGCAGGCTGCCCTCCAACGCTCAGACTCGCCTGCCACAGTGCACTGAGTTGTCTCCCCACCTGTCCCACTCCAGGACAGCGTGCTGCATTCTTGCTCCTGGCTGTGTCCCCAGCAGCTAGAAAACAGTGCGAGGCACACAGGGAGCACCCAGGAATATTTTCTTTAAGTGAACAAAACTATACCAAGTTCTGTAAGGGGAAACATATTTCTCTCACTCTTCCAGAGCCTCCTGTGCTTATGAGACAACTCACCCACATTTCAGGGATTGGCCATTCTGCCTAACCCTGTTTAGGAGATGATACAAAAGCAATGGGGAGCTGGGTGTTGTGGTGCACACCTGTAATCCCAGCACTGAGGGAGGCTGAGGCAGGAGGATCCAAGTATGAGCCCAGCCTGGATAATTTAGTGACTTACCGAGATCCTGTCTCAAAATAAAAATTTTTAAAAGGGCTGGGGATATAGTTCAATGGATGACCCTGGGTTCAGGTCTCAGTACTTAAAAAAACAAGCAAGAAGAACCAGCCATTGGCGCCATGCATCTGCAGTCTAGAAAGACCCCCCCCCCCGCCTTCAGTGTGGACAGACAGACGAGGAGCGAGGGGCCCTGATCGAGGTTGCAACTGCCAGGCCCTTTACAGCCAGGACCTCTGCACACTGGGAAGAAAAGGACTCACTTGCTTTCTCTCCTGAGACAGCTGCGCCCACTGGGCAGCCAGTATTTTTGTTATTTCCGTGAAAGGCAGGTCGGGATATTTGGCCCGCAGCTGGCTTCTTTGCTCATTCAGGAAAATCACGTACCTGTTCAGGAAAGAAAGGGAGGAGTCAGAGGGCCTGGCACAGGGTCCACTGTCTGGTTTACCTGGAATTTCAATCTAACCAGCACAATGGAGGTCAGAGCTAGGGAGGACGGTACTCATCCGGATGCCTCATCCGGATGCCTCATCCAGAGTCTGACGAAAGACTGAGGTCCAGCAGACGGGCTGCTGGCGACAGGAGGTGTGCACAGACAGGGTGGCCTGGCAGGACAGGGGACAGGTTCAGATCCCCATGCTGCCTTCTACAGGGAAGTCACTTGGCCCATCCAAGCCTCAGTTTCCCCTCTGTATCATGGACACAATGCCACCTGCTTGCAGCCTAGTGCTCCAGGTGTCGGCCTTCCCACCCTCAGGACCAAGGCTGCATTCTGAGAGAAACAGGGAAGGCCGGGGGCTATACCAGTCTCAGACCGGAAGTCCATCCCTGGGTGTCATGGGAACCCAGGAAGCCCCTCGGCTGCACCCTGAGGTGAAGAGGAACTGCATAGGCTTCCAGAGGAGATAAGGGACCCTGAGGGCAGTGACAGTGGCTGGCCAGAGCCTCTCTGCTGCAGCACAAGATGCAGAGGATGACGACCAGGCAAGGCACAAGTTCGCAGGCTGCTGGGGAGGGGTGTGGAGCCTGGCGAAGGTCACCCAGCTTGCCATGGCCACAGGGTACCTGTGCTGCATGCCTGAAATGGAAACCAGTGGGCTGTCCAGAGCCCCCCACCCCATAACCCAGGCCCAGGCTCGCTGCCTGCGAGCTCCCCACTCTCGTCTGTGACCCAGGCCCAGTCTTTCCAGCACCAGACAGATCTGCAGCCTAAACAACAAGCATCCCACCCTCATCTTACCCTGTTGTGGGTGCACGGGGCACAGACAGGTCCTTCGGGGGCTTCCTTTTCTTGCCTTTGGGCCACCCCCCTTTCCGTTTCTGAAACAAATCCAGAGACAGACCTCTAGATTGTCATATGCACTTGGCATCTTCTCACCATAATGTGCAGCAATGACTATTCAGCGACAGGGTCCTCTGCACACAGGGAGCCGCTAATCTCCTCTCAGCTCCGCAGAGAGCAGGAGGGAGCATCCTCTTGGAGGGGAAACTGAGGCACAGACAGAGATGCAATGGCTGCCCAGCATCACCCAGCAGGCGGGGCAGCCAGGACTTTCCTTCCTGTCCAAGCTGCACAACGGTCATCACACACAGTGAAGAAAGCAATCATGGCATAAGCCACTAGGTTCGCAAGGGGACGGGACACAGCCTTGGCACAGGGGCCCAGGGGGAAGGGGGCTGACAACTGAGCTTCAGTGATGGTCACCTGGGGTCTCCACATCAGCCCTGCCACTTACCTGCAGTGTGGCATTTGGCAAATTAGTAACCGCTCTGTGCCTCAGTTTCCGCATTTGCACAGGGAGGATCATAGTCATCCCTATCTCATGGAGTGCAACGAGGATGAACTGCACTATTAGTCACGCAGTTCTGAGATCAGAGCGGGGAACCTAGTAAGCGCTCAACACATCCAGGCACTTACAACCACCCAGGACCCTCTCCCAGCGAGGCTGGTGGGCAGGGGTCCAGGTCCCAGCCCCACTCGCCCATCCATCTCATTTCTTGGTTCAGCAATCAGCTGACAGAGCCCTCACTCCAGTCGGGACCCTGTGCCATGCTTGGGGATGGAAGGACAGGAGTGGTCAGGGCAGCAGGAGGCATCTGGGCTTAGAGAGCTGGAGGGCAGCGCCTGGGCCGGGCAGCGGCACAGAGCCAGGCGGTGACCACGTGTGTTAAGGAGGTAACCCCGGAGAGGCAGCAGGCTCGGGCACACAGGAGGTGCTGCCGTCTCACTCCAGAGACACTGCCGTCACTGCAGAGACGGGGCCCAGGCTGAGCTGTGCAAACTGTCAGCACCATGGACAGCCCCACCCGGGCCAGCCCTGGTCTCCTCTGCCGCCGACTCCTGAGAGCACGGGCACCTTCTCTGCGTGTGTGGTCACGGCGGGCTCTAACAGTGCACACTCTGGACCGGGCCCTCCCATCCCCCACTTGACAATCCCACGTCAAAGGAAGTCACTTGGACGATGTGACTTGGCCCCACGGGTGCTGCTAGCACACTCACGGCTTCGTTAGACCTGGCCCCTCCCCTGGAGACCCCACAACTGCCTGGGCACAGGTGCCATGCGGTCCAGGTGACCTCTGTCCCAGATCACGCGGCCACCTCATCCTCTTTCCCTCCTCGGTCCTCTGATGCAGCACACAGAAGCACCTCCCATGTGCTTAGAAGGAATGTTTCAATACCTTGTACGGCAAACTCTCCACATCCTGGTGCAATCAGTCAAAAATCAAGAATGAATCTCTGTACGGCCATCCTCGGCCCTTTGTTTCAGCCTCTTTATTAAAATAAAAGTCCTGGCCGGGGATTTAGCTCAGTGGTTTCTCGCCGCCTGCTGTGCAAACGCAAGGACCCGAGTTCAATCCCCGGTACCAAACAAAAAAAACAAAAACAAAAAACAAACAAACAAACAAACAAAATAAAAGTCCTGCCTGAGTGAGTCTGCCCAGAAACCATAGTGACTGAGGCAAAGGCACTGGGGAGGCTGCAGGGGTCTTTTTCTGCGAAGCTTTTGTCCTTGCTAAATGTCTCATGCAGGGCATATACCGAACTGCCTCTGCCCCAAACAGAGCCAGGCAGGCCTGGAGCTCATCATTAGCACAGGGCGTCAGCTTGAGGACAGCACTGCCACCGACTTGGGCACATCGGCTAGAAAGGAAGGGGTGAGAGAGGAGGTGCTGAGCAGGACAGGGTGGGGTTTAATAAGAGTGGAGCTTGCAGCACAGCAGAAAACCCACTGATGGGCAAAATTTTAGGAGGAAAACTCTGTGCCGATAGGGTTCTCCACCAGTGCAGGTCTCCGACACGCAAATCGCAGCAGACCCTGCATTGAGGGAGTTGGCCCTACAAGCAGGGCTGTTTCACAAAGAAAACCTCCTTTGGGAGTCAGCGGGGCTGGCGCGACGGCATGGCGTGGCCCCAGGCCAGCAACGTGTGACTGTCAGCCCCTTTACCTCCCTGGCTCCCAACTGCAAAACAACAAAAGGCCGAGATGGGTACAGGAGCCGGTGCGCTCGGCACACGACCACCTTCCCTCTCCTCATCAGAAAGGAGCAAGGCTCAAGCAGGAAGCGAGCTGCAGGGTGCCACAGGACCCAGACCCAGGCCCAGAGGGTGGTTAAGAAACACCCGTGCTCTCTGTAGGTTTTACAAACAAGTTCCTTAGCAACATCCAGGTGCTGCTGTTTCCACATGGACAATGACTCAGTCAGGGGCACCCAGTACTCCTCCTTGTCTGAATGGTGAAGATGGTTTATGCTTGTTTTGCAGTACAGGAAATGGAACCCAGGACATTCGCTGAGCTACATCCTCAGTCTCTCCTTTTTATATATTTTTTAAAATTTGTGACAGGGTCTCATTAAGTCACTAAGTTGTCCAGGCTGGGCTCAAACTTGCGATCCTCCTGACTCAGCCTCCAGGAATGCTGGGGTCACAGGCCTATGCTGGACCAGCGAGGATGTATGTTACAAGATGACACTCACTCCTCACCATCCCAGGCACGAGGAGAACTGCTGAAGGCCGGGATCTGCTTAGATATCACGGCCCTGACTTGAGTTAGGATTCCAGTTCATTTACTTCTGAATTAAGCTGACACTGTGCTTTGGGCTGAAGTGTGTCTCCCAGAAGTCACACGGTGAAGCCCTAACCCCCAGGACCATAGACAGTCGCAAACACCTCCTGACAGAGGGGCTGAGCCAGGAACCACTCCCACCAGGGAACCGGTGACTGTACAGCACCTGAACATGGGGTCTTCGAGAAGTAATTAAGGGTAAATGGCACCCTAATCCTGTGTTCGGGACTGTGGCCTTACAAGATCTCTCTGTCTCTGTCCTTCTCCTCTCTCTCTCTCTCTTCCTCTCCACATGGCGTGAAGACACAGGGAGAAGGCAGCTGTCTGCAGGCCAGGGTCATCCCCTCCTAGCCCCAGCACCTTTCCGTTCTCTCACAGGGTCCTCAGCAGCCGCCTTCCCAGTCCCAGAGAAGGGCCCGGGCCCAGGCTGGGGAGAGGCTCCTTCACCCCTGCACCCTCACCTGCCGCCCAAGTTTGATTCGCTCGGGCCCCGGTGCCAGACTCAGCTGCCACTGGTGGCCCTGGGCAGGTTCCTGCAGGGCTCCAGGCCCCCACTGTGTCCCTGGTGGAAAGCGAGGGCGACAACACCGACCTCCCAGGGCGGAGACGTCACACTGGAAATGGGAACCTGAGCCCCTGGGGGCTGCACTTGCCTTTGGCTCCTCTGTGTCCTGCTCCTTCGTGCCCCCCGGCTGGGCCGGCATGGTGAGCTGCATGGGCAGAGAGGCCAGGTCATGGCTGTGGGTCCGGATCACGGAGCTCCCGGGGCACGGGTCACCCGCGCAGCTGGGAGGCAGGAAGAGGAGCTCTGCGGGCACTGAAAGAGTGGAAACAGTCCCACCAGGTCAGTGCTGTGCGGTCCCCAGCCCTCGAGTCTGTTAGCATAGGCACAGGGACAGCGTGTGAACCCTGAAACCTCAGTCAGTGCTCACTGTTCTGGCCCAATGACTCCATGGTGCCGAGGGAGAAGCCCACGCTGCCAGACCTGACACACAGCCTTTCACCCAGCAGGGCATCACAGGTGAGTGTGGGCTCTGCACCCTGAACCCAGATTCAAACACCAGCTCCACAAGTTAGCTGCACATCGTTGGCCCCATGCATCACCCGGGGCGACCTTGGTTTCCTCTGCGATAACAGAGGGCAAATCCCAGACCTCCTTTCTTCCAGGGCCGCTGCAAGGCCCGTGCACACCTTGCATACTTGCAGAGTGCCCTCTGTGTGCCAGGCTGGCGACATCAGCACACAGAGCAAACACCTCAGATCCCGAATTTACATTCCAGGGAGCAGGAGGGATTCAATAAAAACAGACTCCTCCTGGCAGCGCGGCCTTGGTAAATGTTAGCTGTTATTCCAGAGGCGTTCTTAATGGGCGAGTCTGCAGCTTTCGGTCACTGGAGGTGTCAAGTTACCCGAAGCGGACGGAGGAGGCAGGGATTAGGGTCTCACCTTACATATGGGAGGAGGCAGGAGGCAGGGGGCGCTGGCGTGGCTCAGGCCCAGCAGGTGCCCATGATTTATCATTTCTCTTTCTCACACACAGGTACACACAGGTGTAGATGGGGACACCAAGTTGCAGGGAAGCAGGACCCAGGTTGCTGGGGCAAAGGGCTCGTGTGTTTGTAACCCAGGGCGGAAGGGCCTGCTCCAGGGATGCACCCCATCACCTTGCCATCCTCCCTGGGATCCTGCCTCTGGGCCCACAGGTGAGCACCCCACCATCTCCTCCGCTGCATCATCCTCAGGCACGAAGCCCACGTGCCCCAGCCTGCCATCGGAGGCTCCAGGCCCGCCCTGGAATGGAGGATGGTCACACCCTGTCCACACCTCCTCCCAGGTGATCTCCACCTGGACCCTGTTCACTATGGAAATGTACATAATCATTCTGGGGAGGCCCTGGGCAGGGCAGGGGCAGAGGCAGGAGGCAGGAGGCAGGAGGTAGCTAGGGAAACGGCTGAGAAAGAAGGGAAGGTAGGCCTGCCTTGGAGCTGCCTTCTGAGTGAGATCTGAGGCATCGGGTAACCAAGGAAACCACTGGGAAGGCAGGGAGCTGTCTCAGAGCCACTTCCTGCAGCAGGATCCACTCTGAGTCAGACATTAGCCTGGGGCCAGAAGGCCAGGTCTACACCTGCTGGGAAAGGTAGCCAGGTGACTCAGCTAAGCACAGTGTTTTCCTGGCACAAGCCCAGGGGTCTCACGAGACCTGGAGGACCCAACTCTATTTACCACGTCACTGGCTGTGCGGATCTGACCCCCCAGGCTTTGGATACTGTGTCAATTCTGCCAGGGCCATAGACGGTCTCAAACACCTCCTGACAGAGGGGCTGAGCCAGGCCGCTCATCGGCGGGAGTCAGAGCTCAGATCAAACCCTCAATCCCAGTCCAAACCCTAAGACTCAAAACCCCGAGTTGGGTTTTAAGGTGCTAACCCTGAGCTGGCCCGCTGGGGATGGATCTTGTCTTTTCTCCTTTAAATAAATCATGGATCCAGCTGCCACTCTCAGGTGTCCTGCTCAATCCTTTGCTTTGGGCATCAAGACCTGGACAAGACCCTCAGCAAGTGACACCCTGGCCCGTTCTTCCCACCTCGGCAGTGGCTCCTGAAAGGGTGGAACCCCTCCCACCAGGGAACAGCCCTGCTGGAGGAGGCGCCTGAAGACTGACCCTGGCCAGGGCCCTTCAGACACAAGCAGGAGAGCGTGTCGGGCCCCTGGCAGGGGCCACAGAAGCAGCTGGTGGGTGGTGGGGAACTCAGTCAGTACCAAGGGTAAGTCCCGGGAGCAGGGCGATGGCGACTGCTTTGCCTAGCACTTTTCATTATGGGTGAATGGAGGCTCAGAGGTGCTGGATGACTTGCCCAAGACCTCTACCCCAGAGAGGAGGCGTCTGCCCAGGGGCCCCAGGCCATCAGACCACTGGAAGTTGCAGCGGCCACACCTATGACTCACAGAGCCTCAATTTGGAGCCATTACTGGCCATGTCATCTGTCCACCCTCAGCTTCCGCGCCCGTGAGATGGGGATACTAAGAGGAGGTCCCTGAGGATTCACTAGGTCATTGCAAGGCCTGGCCCCAGGAGCGCTCCCAACCCTTTCCACATTTCGAGACAGGGTCTCACTAAGTTGTCCTGGCTGGCCTCGAACTTGGATCCTCCTGCCTCAGCCTCCCGGGCAGCTAGGACTAAAGGCGAGCACCATTGCTCACTCTATCCTGGAACACAAGAAAACTGCCTGTGAGTCAAATTTTGGGCCAAGGACTCTTGTCCTGCCGCGGGAGTCTCACAGTAGCCAGAAGCGGATTACACGATTCTCCCTAGTTATCCTCCAGTGCCGGCATCCAGGTTTCTGCACAAGGAACGCTCTGGTCAGACCCTGATCCAGCCAGCCTCAATTTCCACATCTGCACGGCCAGCCCTGAGGCTGACACCCCCTCCCGGCAGGGGTTCAAATCCTGTCTGCGCCACTCAGTCATAGGGTTGGGCGTGGGGTCAAGTTGCTAAACGTCTCGGTCCTCGCCGGGATTGGGGCAGTGACGCCTCACGGGACAGGCGAGCACAGGGGCTCCGAGGCCCTCCGGGAGGGCACCGTGTTCGTCTCCGGGGCGCGCTCCAGGCACCTGCGCCCGGCCACGCGCGCGCGCGGAGCCGGCGGGGCGCAGGCCCGAGTCATTTGCCGGGGCCCGGGACCCCGGGGAGTCCGCGCCCCCGCCGAGCAGCCCCGGCCCGGGACCCCCTTCCCCCCGGGAGCGGGGCGCGCGCGACCGGGGGCGGGGACGCAAGTCCAGCCACTGACCCGCAGCCTGGCCGCCGTCCCGCTGCATGGCGCCCGCCCGCCGGCTGCCGCTCCCGGGACCGTGGGCGGGATCCGCCTGCTGCCGCTCCCGGGAGCCGAAGCGGTCCCGGGGCTCGGGCTCCCGCGGCTCCGGACCGGGTCGCGGGCGCCCAGCAGGGTCCGGCCCGCTCTCCGGACTCCGGGCTCCGGGTTTTGCGAGTAGCCGGGGCTGGGGGGTGGGGGTGGCTGAGCGGGGTGGTGGCGCAGAGTGGGCGGGACCGAGGCCCGGCAGCCCCGCCCCATCGGCTGTTCCGGGAGTCGGGCTCCTCCCCCCGCGCGCAGTTACATAAGGGGCCCTGCGAGCTGGTTGGCCAGGGCTCCTCTTCTAAATTACTTGTATGTCTTTTTGTATTTTCAGATCACACAGGAACACATGCTACTATGACCGAGCCACCTGTTAGTCTGTTGGCATGCCTCACTCATATTAAAAGAAATTAAAAATGAAATGTAAATGATAATTATTTACAAATAGTGACGAGCGCCACCCGGTCTTTCCATTGCAGCGCTTCCATTAACTTTCCATCGCCCAGGTGACCCTGAGGCCATCCTCTTGGTCACTTTGGAGGTCGCCTGTGGGCACTGTCCCTGTAGCCAGAGGCCGCGTTCGTCCTCCCGCCTCGGCTGGGTGTCCCTGGGCCGGTGCGCTTGTCTCTGGACCCTGATCTTGCCGTCCGTCCGTTAGGTGGGGACAGTAAGAATGTGCGTCAGACACGACGTTTCCGGGATGTACTGAGTTAATATTCCTAAAGTGCACGGGAAACATTCCACCAACAGCTGAGCTGTTATTGCTGAGCTCTTGTGCATGTGTCCAGGACAGTGAGCACTAATCACGCAGTAACAATCGGCCACTTCATATCCAAAGTCCCGACTCGATTTCCCTGTTTTCTTTTTGTAATCAACCCACAAACTCGGCAAATGTCACTAAAGCCCTCTGTTCGCCAGCTTCTTTCTCTACGGGATTAAGGCGGTATCTACAGCACCTGCCCCCCAAGGGATGCTACAGGATTAAGTGAGGCTGTTCCCTAGGCTGGACCATGAAAGTTCATGTAACTGGTCCGTGCTGCTGTGTGTGTCTTGGCCAGTGCGAATTAAACAGCTCCTGTTTTCCCCAGGGCGGGTCACCCTGGGCTGGGGCTCCTCCTACCTCCCCACCGGCCTCCCCATTCTGTCCAGTTAAGTGTAGCAAACACACTCTGAGATCCACTTCCTTACAAAAGTGAGGAAAAAAGATTCTCTGAAGCAAACCTTGAGAATAGCACAGAAGGTCGCAAAACGGACGCTGGGCGGTGAGACTCTGGTGTGTTCAGTTTAGACCATAGGGAAGCCAGTGGATGCAAGCCGTGGGGCATCACCACGGAGATGGATGGGCAGAGGAGTGGAACCCAGACAGCACCAGAATCAATCCAGAGCACGCGGTGGGTTTGTTTAGGGCAAACACTGCTGCCCAGCTCCGTGAAAAAGAAGGAAGGGGAACTGGCTGGCCGTCTGAAAAGGGGAAAAGTGGGCTCCGATCTTATTTCAAGTACTAAAGCAGGTTCAAGGAAAAGACCTAAATGTAATAAATAACAAACATCTTCCAAGAAGGCCTTGGGATTCCAACACTATCACCCTCAATGTGAGCTACAGTCAGTTGAAAAACAATAGATTTAGATTCCTAAGTACTTCTGCTAGTAGACACATACTTCACAGGGCAAAACTAATCAAATAGAAACACTTCTTTTTTTTTTTTTTCGGTTTTCTGAGACAAGGTCTCACTATGTAGCCCAGGCTGACCTTAACTCACAGCAATCCTCCTGCCTCAGCCTCCCAAGTGCTGGGATTTCAGTTGTGTGGCACCACACCTGGCCACAAAATGTTTTTTAAAATTTAAAATGGAGTAATAAAAAGTGCAAAGACGTGAGGATCACCACGAGTTTGAGGCCAGCCTGGGCTATGTAGTGAGATCCTGTCTCACACACACACACACACACACACACACACACACACACACACACAAGTACAAAGAATGAAGTCAAAATGACCAGGAAAATTTGGAAAAGAACCAAGTATTTTGTAATAAGAATATAATAATTGAAATACAATCCTCCACTGATAGGTTATGTAGCTGACCATATTGGTCAGTTAACTAGAGCACAGATGTGCATTACCCAGAGTGCAACTCAAACTGAAAGGGGAATGAGAAATAGGAAAGGATTTTGGAGACACTCGTGACAGATATGAAAGAATATCCTCTGTCTAATTGGAGTTTTAGCAGATTAAAATAGAGAAAACTGAGGAAAGGCCATATTTGAAGAGATGATGGCTATGCAGTTTTCATGGTTGCTTAAAGATACCATATCTCAGATCCGGGTAAAACAATATATGCTAAGCAACATAAATAAAAAACTACATATAAACATAGCAGATTAAATTAAAAGACATCAAAGAGGAAACTTAGACATTGCAACAAAATGAAAGAAAATACAGGTATTTTACAAAAGAATGAAAATGAGCCAGGGATTTAGCTCAGAGGTGCTACCGCCTGCCTCTCCAGTGCAAGGTCCTGAGCTCAATCCTGAGAACCAAAAAAAAAAAAAAAAAACAAAAAGAAAATGACCATACAGTATTTCATCAGTTTAGAGGAACACTTTCCACCACAGTTTACCATGTCTGAAGTTGGGACTGATCTTTCCTCTGCTGGACCTGACAGCTATGAGGGACAGCGTCCTTCCTTCTCACGGCGGGCCATGCATGCAGATGCGTCTCTGAGCTGTGAATGTGGCCAACTGGCCACAGACCCATCAACAGCAACTCAGAAACCAAAGGCCTGAACCAATGTACTCCAGGTGCTGAGAAAACACAGGACTGAGATTCCTGTTTCTGACCATGAGAAGAACTGGCCAAACCATATTTAAAAATTATTCTCGGATACTGGCAGCAGATAGAGCAGAGCAGGGATGCCTTCGAGAAGGAGAGCACATCGGGCTGGAGCCACTTTCTCCGCTGCGGCAAAGTGGAGCCTGGTGAGACTGCCTGCACCCAGGCAAAGAAAGCCACAAGGGAGCAAAACATTGAGTAACTGTTGGATCCCTGAGAGGCTGGAGAATTTGGGGATGAGTCACCCAGAGCGGAAAGACCTTGCTGAGTCTCAACAGCATTCAGCAGAGATGCCAGGATGAGCCGGGGTGATGGAGCACACCTGTAATCCCACCACTGAGGGAAGCTGAGGCAGGAAGATCCAAGTTCAGATTGTTCCTGGGCAATTTGTCTCAAATTTTAAAAAAATTAAAAGGAGACTAAAGGGGGCTGGGGATGCAGTGGAACATCCCTAGGTTTGATCCATAGCACCGCAAAAAAAGAAACATAAAAAGTGACTTACTGACACATACAACCATCTGGCAAGTCTCAGAATAATGGTGCCTGGTGAGACATGACCAGAAAGGGTGCTCGGGATGTGGGTTGGGTGCTAATGAGAAGGAGGAAGTGAGGGGCGGGAAGAAACTTCTGGGTGATGATCTGCTCATTGTCGGGGATGTGGGGGTGGATGAGCAGGTGTGTCATGTGGGAAAATATGCCTGTATTTATGGATATGCACTTTATTCCACACCAACTGTATCTCAATACAATCATTACAAAAAGGAAAATTTAATGGACAGTTTTCAGTGAAGACCCTTATGATGTAGTTTTGAATTTAGAAGAAATTTAGAAGTAAGATAGTTGACAATGGCACAAAGAAAGGATGGAGTAAAATGAAGTATGAGATGGTGATGTTCTCCCAGGATATAGAAAGCACTGCATGTTATTGACTTAGTGTAGGAAGTTAGAGACACACACTAAAAGTTCTAGCCCAATTGGTTTAAAAAAATAAAGAGGAATAGCTAATGAGAGAATCATAGTACAGTGTTTTAAAAACATTTAATCCAAAATAAGGAAGAGAAAGAAGATAAAGGAATAAAGAGCAGGTGGAAAAATAAAAAACAAATACCAAGATGGTAGACTGCAACCCAGCTGTCTCCACAGTTCCATTCAGGATAAGTAGATTGGCCCTGCAATACATGAGACTGCTCTTCAGAGCGGATAAATATGGAGACCCAAGCATGTGCTGCTGGCAGGAAGCCCTCTCTAAACACAAAGAGGGTGGGCTGAGAGTAAACAGGTGGAGAGAGCAGACCACGCAAAAAAGACGGCGAAGGCATTTTGCAAACTATATACACATCAGATAAACCACACTGCACAATAGGAAACAGTACCAGCTTCATGATGAAAAGAAGATCAATTCATCAAGAAGATGTGAGAATATCAGTCATGCATGTCTCTGATAATAAAGCTTCAAAACACCAGAATCAAATGGGAAAAACTGAAAGGGAAATGGACAAATTCACCATTGCAGTGCATGCTTTCCAATATCACTCTCCCAGGAACTGCTAGAAACATGAGGCAGACAGTCAGTGTACAAGAAGATTATGCACGGCTCTGCCACTGACTTGACCTCATTGATATTTCTAGAACCTCCCACCCAGTAGCAGCAGAAATCATGTGTCTTTAAGAGCTGTGTGGAAAATTTACTAAGATAGAACACATGCTAGACCACAGAACACATCTCAATACATTTAAAAGGAAGAAAACCATACAAAGTATGTTCTTTGATGACAATATTCAATTAGAATTTTGTAACAATAAGATATGCACAAAATCTGGGCATGGTAGAGCATGCCTATAATTCCAGCTACTCAGGAGGCTGAGGCAGGAAGATCATGAATCCTAGATCAGCCCGGGCCACATAGTGAGACCCTATCTCAAAAAACAAAAACAAGGGCCAGGGATTTAGCTCAGTGGTTTCGTCGCCTGCTGCACAAGTGCAAGGACCCGAGTTCGATCCCTGGTACCAAAAAAACAAAAACCAAAAACAAAACAGAAACAAAACCCAAGACCAAACAAAACATGTCTACCAAGTCCCCCAAATTAAGAGTATGATTGGAAATAGGGGAAAATAGAAAATATTTAAAACTGGATGATAACACATATTGTGCATATAAAATTAGTGGTCTACTTTATAGAATAAAATAGAGAAGGCAGAATTAAATCCTGGACAAAAAGCACATACCTTAGGAAAGAAGTGATGAGAGCAAAGCACTTGTCTATGATGATAACCGAGATTTCGATTAAAACAAACAGTGATGCATCCAGATCCAGGTTAATCACTGAAAAAAGGAAATAACCTGTATAACTTTCAGACAGTAGAAGATAGCGGAAGAGGAAAGACTGCGCAAGCAATCCAAAGGAAGGGAGAAGTGGAGAAAAAGGTGAAGAAAGTAAAAAACAGGATGGACATGAACAGCTCCCGCCATGCCCACAACTGGAGCCTGTGTGGATGGACAGCCTCTCTGCCGAAGGTGGAGAGTCAGGCTGGGTGAAATGCAGAGCCTGGGGTTCACTGTTCTCACCTAGAGCATGAAGAGGATTCACGAAGCAGACGACAAAGGATGGGAAGGGACCCAGGGGCGAGAGAAAGCTGTAGTCGCTTTAATAGTGGACAAGTAGAGTCAGTCATCATTGGATACAGGGGTTTGCTACTTAAGTCAGTTCATCAGGAAGAGGTTACTGTCTAGAAGTTCCTGCATGGAATTTGAAACAAAAATATATCGGACACCAGGATTGAGAGAACTAGGCGGGGGAATCCACAGATCTACCATCTTAGAGGGCTGTTTCAGCATAGCTCTTAAACGATTTCTTTACTGTGATCAAGTGTACGTAATATAATACTTGCCATTTTAACCATTTCTTTGGTACCAGGGATCGAACTCGGGTCCTTGCACTTGTGAGGCAGGTGATGGAACCACTGAGCTAAATCCCCAGCCCATTTTAACCATTTCTAAGTGCACCATTTGGTGGCATTACCTCACCTGCATCATTGTGCCTCCACTGTCACCATCTGTGTCCAGAACTTTCACATCTTCCCACTTGGAGACTCTGCCCTCATTAAACATGGCCTCCCCAAGCTCCTCCTCCTGGTCCCTGGCAACCTGTGAATTCGATTTCTCTACCTAGGACCCCACCGAAGCAGAGTCAGAAAATATTTGTCTTCATGGTTGGTTTTCCTCACTTAGCATAATGTCACCCATCATTAATATGTGTCATATGTGTCAGGGTGGATAATACTGTACTCCAGTGCATTCACGCCCCACACATGTATCCTGTGTCACAGACACTTGGATTGCTTCCCTATGTTGGCGATGGTGACTAAGGCTGCTTTGAATGTGGGTACCAAAGTATCTGTGCCAATTCCTGCTGTCACTTTTCTTGTGTATACCCAGAAATGGAATTGCTGGACCACATGCCAGTCTCCATGTGTGTCTGAGGAGCTTCCATAGTGTTTTCCAGACTGGCTGTACCATCTTAAATCCCCACCAAGTGAGCGTGAGGGTTCCAGCTTCTCCAGGTCCTTGCCAACATTTGTTATTTTCTTCTTTTTCATAACAGTCACTGTCAATTTGGGCTGCTAGAATAAGAACACCTTAGACTAAATAATTTATAAACAATAAAAATTTAGGGCTTAAAGTTTTGGAGGCTGGGAAGCCCAAGGTCCAGGTGTCAGCAGATTTGAGGCCTGACAAGGGCCTCTCTGGGCCCCATCCTTACAAGGCAGAGTGGCGACCAAGCTCCCTTGGACCTTTTTCACAAGGTCACTAATCCCATTGACAGAGGTTCCATCCTTACGACTCAATCTCACCCCGAAGGCCTCACTTCTTAATACTGTTATATGCAGATTAGGTTTCAACCCATAAAATTTGGGGGACATGAACACTGAAACCCTAGTAGCCATCCTAATGGGCACTAAGAGTCAACCTGCCTCTTCCATTGATAAGCCATAGAGTGAAAGATATTGGTAACGACAGAAGATGTGAATAATACAACTCAAAGGCTTGATCTGATGAACACACACAGAATCTACCTCTCTTACAAATAACATTTATCATTTTAAGAAAGATTTCACTTAAGTAACAGAACAAATCTACTGAAGAATATACATATTGACAGATACACAAAGCCTTTCCACAGAGAATGGTAACCTGTCCTGAAAGATGTTTGAAAGGCCTGAACAGAGAGAAGAACTTCTAACTGGGAGGAGTCCATTTTCTAAGATCTCTCTCTCTGAACTGATCAATTCAATGCAGTTTTGATCCAAATCCCAACAGGATTCTTTGCAAAAGTTGCCAAGCTAATTCTAAGATTCACATGGAAGAGAAAAGGGCTAAGAATAGCTTAAATGCTCAGAAAAGGTGAACAAGCTAGGGAAACTTGCTGTGACAGATGTGGAGACTTCTGTAAAGGTTAAGTAAGTATGACTGACAGTGTGTAGAGACAAGTAGACAGGTGGATCAAGTTCCACAGGCCGTGTGTGGTGGTCACTGGAGATGCATCGCAGCCTGCATCGGGAGGGAGAAAGTGAGTTTTCAGTAAGGCATGGGACCACCGGGTATTTCCTCCAGGAAAAAAATGAAATAGGATCTGTCATTCGCACTGTATGCAAAACTCAATTCCAGGAGCATTAATTCTCAAAATGGAAAAGCAAAGCTTTAAAACATTCTGAAAGGAATATGGGAGAATATTTTTATTGCTTCAAGATAGAGAAGAATTGCTTAAATAAAACTCAAAAAGCATAAATCATAAAGGGAAATATTGAAAACACTGACTATATTAAAAGCAATATTTCTATCCCCCAAAGGAAACAGTATGATACAGTAAGCCCGTAACTAAGAGGCGATAAGCAATACAGATACCCAAAGATCCTTCGGGTGTCCAGAATCCCTAAAAATCAATACAGAAAAGACAAGCCAGTTAGAGGACAGCAGGATACATGAAAGGGCGTATGTACTGAAAAGAAAGGATGAAGAACCAAAAGCAGAGAAAGAGGCTCAGGGTCATTAGTGATCAGAGGAACTCACGAGTCGTGCTGAGATACTTCACGCTCACCAGACTGGCAAATGTACATTCAGCCATCACCATGTGCTCATAAAGATGTGGAGGAACTGGTTTGCTTAGATCGCTGGTGTTGTCGTCAGCGTGGGATTCTATAGGAAATATTATAGACTGGGCGGACTAAACAACAGAAATGTATTCTTTACAGTCCTGGAGGCCCAAATCCAGGATCGGGGTGCCAGCATGGTGAGGGCCCTGTGCCAGTTAAACTTAAATGGCAACTTGACTGGTGAGAGAGACTCCTGGAGCAGTGATTGGATCGTGGGGGTGAGGGGCTCATCAGTGGGTGCGTGGTTAGGAGGTGGGGCTGAGTGGGAGGAGACGGATCACTGGGGCACACTTTTGGAGGGTGTGAAGGTTAAGATCATCAGCGTGATTGGCTTGGGAGCCACCCAGGGGTTAGTAAAGCACACTTTAGGTGTGTCTGAAGGGGTCTAGGTCTGGTCCCTCACTCCTTCCTCTTTGGCACTGTTCTCCTGCTCTGCTTCCTGGCCACCATAAACAAAGCATCTTTGTTCCACTGTGCCCTTCCATCATGACATTTCTTCTTTGGAGCCAGCCAACCATGGACTGAATCCTCTGAAACCATGAGGCAAATCAAAGCTGCTGTCCTCTAAGTTGGGGGGATTGGGTATTTTGTTCCAGCAATGGGAAAGGGCTGACCAATACAGCTGTTTTCCTGGTTTATCGACGACCAGGTGTAGTTGTATCCTCACATGGCAGGGAGGAGATTTCTCATGTCTTCTCTGAGAACAGCACTAATCCCATTCACAAGGGCTCTACTCTTATGACTTTCCCTTGAAAAGACCCTCATCTGCAGATACCATCACTCTGGGAGTAGGGATTCAGCATATGAATTTTAGGGCTGCACATTCAGGTCCTAGCAATTGAAAAATAAATTGGCATAGGATTTTGGAAGACAGTTCTGTAGTACTTGAAAAGTGGAGGATGTTCGTGTCCCATGATGCAGCCAGCCATCCCATTCCTACAGTATAAGCTCTAGGTCCATGGTTCTCAACCAGGGATGCCTTTGCCCTCCAGGGGGACCTGTGGCACTGCATGGAAATATTTTCACCTGTCACCTCTCACGGGAGGATCTGTAGGCTGGAAGGCAGAGATGCTGCTACCCAGTGTACCATGCATAGGAGAGCCCCGTCCCAGGGATGATCCTGCCTAAAATAGCAAGCATTCCACTGTTGAGGAATCTTGCTCTAGAAATCACAAGATATAAATGCACACATCCATAGTAGCATGGTTTAAATATTTTAAAAAAGGAATTCTATTTTCAGTTCAGCTACAGGCTTCAAAATGGATGAATTGTTAACACTTGATATTTAGCTAAAAAGTAAAATGTGGAAGAAGATATGTACAGATACAACACCATGTACATGAACTTAGGAAAAAGATAAAGACACACTTGAGGACAATGGTTAAGCTGGGGAGAGTCATATGGGGCAGGGCTCCTACTTTGTTACTGAAGTTGAATAGCAGGTCCACTAATGCTTATTATTTTATATTCCTTGAATATTGCAAAATCTTGGAGTAATGTGTCCAATGAGAGCTCAAGTTCTTACTGAATGAGTTGTCCTCTGTTCACCACTTTTCTACAAAAAGGGGACCAAAATTTCCACCTGGCGGGACAGCAGTGGGACAGATGGCAATATTACCTGGGGTCTGCTCAGGTCCATGCAAAGCCACTTGTAAATGGTGCGATTTCACTCTCTTTGCTTTTGTATTTTGAGACAATACCAAAATACAGCTGAGGTTTTTGTTGGCCACTCCCTTACTGAGCTTTAGGGAAAATATATGTTATGTATATTATTTGGCATTCTTGCATTATTCACACTAAAAACCTTTTTTTGCATAATAGGAAACTTCTCTACTTAATGGTGTTGGTGTGTGTGGGGTTACATTTTCCAACCAGATCACTTGTAATTTTTTTGTCTTGTGAATAAACAAGCAGAGTATCTGTCCAAGGAAACCAAGTTTTCTTGTACTTACAAGAAAATCTAGGAGGTGGCATGTCTTGGATGTGAAACTTGGAAACTATTTTTTAAAAAGTGAAAGACACGATTTTTTTCAGCACTGGAAAATGAACTCAGGACCTTCACACTGAGCCTCGTCCTCAGCTCTTTGTGTTTATTTTGAGAGAGGTCTCACTAGCTTGAGCCTGGAATTCTGCTTCAGCTTCCCCAGGGCTGCAGGCCTGCATCACCACACCTGACTGAGTGATATTTTTAACTCTATAAAGAGGTTGTTGTTATGCGGTAAAAGATGCCACAAAATCAAGAGACGAACACAAGATCTGGAGAGAGAATTTGAATAGCCAAAGCTGTAGATGCTTCATAGGTGGCTCTAAAAACTTGGCAGAACAAAAAGCCCCAGGTAAAATGAGCAAAAGAGTTGGACTCAGTGGTGTAGACCTGTAACCCCAGCACTTTGGAGGACTGGGGCAGGAGGATCGCAAGTTTGAGTCCCGCCTGGGCAACTTACCGAGATCCTGACTTAAAATAAAAATCAAAAGGGGCTGGAGATGTAGCTCAGTGGTAGAGTGCCCTTGGGTTTGATCCCCAGTTTCGGAAAAAAAATGGGGAATAGACTATTGTGTATACTTTCAGATTTTCTCCTTTGAATATATATACTATCTATACATATTTTCCCAATAGACAAAGAAATGCTCATTAAAGTAAGAAGACCACTTCATGCTATACCCATGGACAGTACTCAATATGCAGCATGCTGTCACAGGGACTGAAGACGGGAACACAGGAAATACATGCCTCGAGGCGGCAGGGGGCCACGCAGAGAGTCCCGTGAGATAACCTGTGGGCATTTGTTAAAGGCTAAGCTTCCCCTCTGCACCCGTGATTTCCGCCCTGGACTCCCTCCCCCGGGACAGAAGCACCGATCTCCGGAGGGCTGTGGAAGAGCGTTTCGGACCCGTGTTCATCGGCGGCCAAGACGAAGAGAAGGAAGTTCCTTCCAAGAGGAAGTGGCACGGTGAGGT